CCACCACCTGGTGTTCAAACACCACCACCTGGTGTTGTTTAAAAAAAAATACACCACCTTAGCTGAAATCTTCAAGTTCAGATTTCATAGGAATGAGGACTTAGGCAAAAATGTCAAATACATGGAGTCCTTGACTTATGACCACAATTAAGCCCAAAATTTCTCTTGCTAAGTGAGATGGTTGATAAGTGAGTTTAGCCCCAATTTATGCCCTTTCTTGCCACAGTTGTTAAGTGAATCACTGCAGTTGTTAAGTTAGTAACACCAACTGCGTTACTAACTTAACAACTGCAGTGATTCAGTTGTTACGTTAGTAACACAGTTGTTAAGTGAATCTGGCAACCCCATGGACTTTGCTTGTCAGGTGGCCGCAAAAGGGGATGACATGACCCCGGGACATTGCAACCGTCATAAATATGAGTCAGTTGCCAAGCATTTGAATTTTGATCATGTGACCACAGAAATGCTGCAAGGGTCGTAAGTGTGGAAAACGGTCATAAGTCGAAGTGAGACTCAAAGAAAGTCTCAGTGCTGTTGTAACTTCGAACAGTCACTAAGCGAACGGTTGTAAGTCAAGGACTACCTGTAAATCCCTGTCTCCAATCAAATGCATCTTCTGCATGGGGCAGTACCAGCTAAAGCAGTGCTTCCCAACGTGGGGCACACGCCCGAAGGGGGGGGGCAATTTTATTTTGAATGGGGGCACTTTGAACCTTGTTTAAACAAAATTAATGGCCTTTTAGGCTTCCTCCGCGTGAGTAGAGTTCACTTCTTGAGTCAAATAAGACTTATATGTCACGGGGGGGGGGGGGCATCAAAATTTCAGAGATGCTTAGGTGGGGCATGGCCAAAAAAAGGTTGGGAACCACTGGTCAAAAGAAAGGACTTGCATCATCAATGGATGAAATAAAATATCTGCGTCATTTTCCTACATGTCCTCACTCATTTTGATGATGGAGAACATGATTTTGAAGTTCCGTTCAAAGGAGAAGAGATTTTCAAAGCATTCAGCCTGCACTGGGATTCAGCCGGTTCAGACAGGTTCGGGCGAACTGGTAGCACCGGCAATCAGCTGGGGGAGCGAACCAATTCACTCCACTGATCAGGTTGGCCCGCCCCTGTATTTTACCTACCTGTATCCGCTCAGCTGATTCGTGCAGCAAAGCGGATTGCCACGCCTCCGCTGTGTTACTCCCCAGAAGTAATGTTGAAGGTAAGTTTTGTTCAAACTGCCGACGTGTGCGCGCAAAGCACATGATCACCGAACTGGTTGTTAAACTGGCAGGATCCCACCACTGCCAGCACTTCTTTAGTCACAAAATGGCCACATGGTCACATCTCTCATTTCTGGAGAGATCATTGTGCACAGGGCAACCTTCCATGTTTCAATGAAATANATACCCCTCTCTCTCTCTCTCTCTCTCTCCCTCCCTCCCTCCCTCCCTCTCTCTCTCTCTCATCTATCTAATTTATATGTTACTTATATATCCAAACATATATATCCATATATATGTTACTATATGTCCAAATATATCCAAAAACAATAAACCACATTGATTTTTCTTTCTTGGCAATTTGTTATCATTTTAGCTTTAATAACCAAAGATTCTAAGTGTACATGCTGGTGTTCCTCTAATTGCTGCTTGGGCTTTCCTTTTAGGCAAGCCATCTCTGTTGTTTGGAAACTTTGGATCAGGTCTGTCAATACTAGCAACACAAACAAATCAGGGCTCACTTTGGTTTTAGCCTTTGTCTCGGGTCCTCCCTCATTTCCTTCAGCTACCTGCGTGTCCACACCAGGCTCCTCGGGATGGTCTTTGTTAAGGGCAGAATAGTCTTCCAGGAGAGTGTCAAACAACACAATACGTTTGTTCTTGAAGAAACCATAGAAATAAGCATTGCTATGGGAAGACCGTTTGGATCCTGGGGAGAAAGAAAATTCAGTCATATTACAGCATTCTAGATTTTATGAGCAAGAGGGCTTAAGAGTATTCGGCTTTCAGCATTGGCTAGTGCCTCCTGTTAGAGACCTGGGTAATGAACTGTTCACTTACTCCAGATGCACACAGCTGGTGACCCAACCACATGGACTATAGTGCAATTGGGAAGGTCTGAAATCAAGCTTAGCATCCAGCATATCTTTAAGGTTGAGGGCTAAACAGAAGCTATTTCAAACTGCATAGCTGCAGTGAATAGTTTCCCTGAAGCATGGAGAAAAATGGCACAGGCAGAATAGGGTGTAAACACCATACCTGTCTTCCCTTGTGAGTCTTGGTGAGACCATCCACCTAGACAGTGAGCAGGATCAAACTGCTTAACCCAAGGAAGGAGGCGGCACTGTGTGCCAGCAAACTTTGATGGCGATTGTAGAGCATCCTTTTGTATACCAACAGAGCGAAGGACCATCTTGGCAACATCTCAAACCTTTAATGCGACTGTGAGGTTTCAAGCACTTAAGGCAACTCTCCTCAGTCTGGACACCCTCCAGATAAGCAGACTTCAAATCCAAGAATGCTCAGTAGCAGTCTAGAGGATACCCAGACTGGAGGAAGCTGGGTTAAGACCTAGAAGTCCAGGCTACATAGTACCAGTTCAAGGGCTGAGACTTGTTGGAGATATTTGTAAATGTTGAAGTGCTCCGAACATTACTGCTTGATGATCGTTATAATCACTAGATTTGGACAAATCAAAATGTTGAGTCAATTCCCTGCTTTATTATATCATCAGCTGCAAAATAATGGGCTCAGATCCCAGTAAGCAAACCAGGAGGAATTCATGTTCTTCCTTTATGGCTGCAGCAGGTTTCCACGGTCAGCAAGCTAAGGTTGCCTCTCCAATTTCAGAAAACCAATGTATAGTTTGGCAATACAGGTAGTCCTTGACTTATGACCCCAATTGAGTCCAAAAATTCCACTGCTAAGTAAGGCAATTGTTAAGTGAATTTTGCTCCATTTTACAACCTTTCTAGCCATGGTTGTTAAGTGAATCACTAGAGTTGTTAAGGTAGTAACCCCATTGTTAAGAGAAACAGGCTTTCCTCATTGGCTTTGCTTCTCAGAAGGTCGCAAAAGGGGATCACATGATCCCGGGACACTGCAACTGACATAAATACATTGGGTTAGACAGCATCACCACCAGATGGATTTGTAACAGGCTGACCAACTGCACTCAATGTGTAGTCCTCAATGGAACTGCATTTACATGGAGGGAAGTATGCAGTAGAGTACCTCAAGGCTCTGTTTTAGCCCAGTACTCTTCAACATCTTCATCTATGATTTGAATGAGGGAGTACATGGGGAACTCATCAA